TTTCGCAACTCAATAGGCATGTTATGAGAAGTTAACCTAATTGATCCATTATTACAACAAAAACCTGGTGATTCATATTGAAATCTTTTTGCTGCACAAAATTTGCAATTTGGAATTTTCTTTAAAAGTAAGTAATCTTTTAGCAATAAATTATCATTTTGTAGATTTACCACTAACTTATTTCTACCTGTGCATGGTAAAAAGCAATTATTTGTTACATAAAGGCATATAATGTTTTTTTTACTATGGTAGAGAGAAGCATACCTCTATTTGAAGTACGTCTTGAACTTGATCTGCTTGCAGCATAAGATGCACTCGACGTTGATCCTAGTATCGGGAATAAAAATATTTAGACACAGTTAGCCAATTATTACAAATCAATATAGTCAAAATAGTTTAAGTAATATTTCTGAACTGACCTACTTCGAAGGTAGATAAGCAATTAACTATACTTTCTCCTCTAGTTGAAGTAACTGGTAGGTTTATAGCTTCAGAAGCTTCAAATACAAAATGAGTAAAATAACTTTAGTAAGAGTAACTGAGCTGAAGCAGCTAACTATAGCTGTAGATATTGAGAAGACAGATTGAAGGAAAGGAAGGTAACAATATGGTTCGCTAACCTTCTTGAGGAAATAACAAAAAAGTGCCGATTGTAAGGGCGCCATTACTATTTAATTGATGTTCTCCTGTAGTTAAATTAACCGGTATATTTGTAACTTCGAAAGCTTCAACTACAAAATGAGGAAAAAAGCTCTAGTAAGAGTAGGTGAGATGAAGGGTCAAACTATATCTATAGATATTCAGAAGACACATTTCAAAGCTGGGACTACAAAATGGCGACCAAGACAATTTCATCTGATGGTTGAAAGAAAACTTCAAGTATTTTGGCAACCAATGCGATTATTATTAACATAAAAACCATAAAAGAGACTTATAATCATCCAAACCTCAACATATTGATGAAAAGTAAAAACATGTAATTACATAATTTTGCCAAAAAACGACTACACCTACTTGGCTTTTTTGTATTATTGAACATTAATATTGTTTCACCCATTTCTCTATTAATTGTGTTCAGTATCTCTGTATACTGCATATGCACTCCTTTGAAGTGTTTCCAATTCCTTGCTTTCCTCCCCACATAGCTGCTATCACTTGCTTTTTCAAACTCTTCCAATGTTTTATCTTGATCATTTCTACTATTTCCTTGAAACCTCTTGTAGGTAGACTGACTTTTATCCATTCAGTTGTTGTATCTCTTACTTTGGTAGCATATTCACATTCAACAAATAAATGATTGCTTGTCTCCATAGTTGAATCTTGGCGCATACAACATGAACTGTCCTCTACATGTATATTTTAGATGGTATATTTTAAGGAAATATTGATTATATTAGAGGAGAACATAGAGTTGCAGCTAATGATTCATCCCAACGACTCTGAATCATTTACTACTTTGGTAAGGACAAAATGTCTCTGGCAACAACATAAAATTATTTATATGACTGTAGAATTATCAAAGCTTTGTAAAAGAGCATATTATGTCTTGGAAGAATTACACAACATGTAATGACTTCCGGAATTAATACTTGACATGTAATGAATTGAACAATTTTTTTATACCTATTTCTAAGCAAATGTTGTTATAATGATATGATAATTTTTCCCACAAATAAAATGTTGGGCATCCTACGGCTCAGAAGTGTTTATTTGTAATTGACAAACCATTCACTTAGCAGCAATATACACAAATAGTTCATATATAATCATACAAAAAATAGAACAAAGCACAATATGGAAACCAAACTCTTAGCAGATCAAATGAAAAAAAGGCGGAGGAGAAGCAACTCATGTGAACTGTGAAGATTGGATAACCCCCAACCCAATAGGAAAATTTCAGCTATTATTTCTGCATTAGGCGTCCATTATGTTTGATCCTATACGTGAAAATTACTAACAGAATTTTGGATTTTTTAAAACAGATTTACGTTAAATATGGTTAGCTAACCTTGTTGAGGAGATAACGAAGAAGTGTTGATTGTAAGGGTGCCAGTACTATTTGATTGATGATGTCCTGTAGTTAAAGTAACTGGTAGGTTTGTGGCTTCAGAAGCTTCAACTACAAAATGAGGAAAATAACTATAGTAAGAGTAGTAGCGTCTAACTATAGTTGTAGATATTCAGAAGATAGAAGGAAGATAAGAATATGCTCAGCTAACCTTCCTGAGGCGATAATGAAGAACTACTGATTGTAAGAGCGGCAGTAGTATTTGATTGATGAAGGTGTTTTTGTCTTTTTGACTCAGCCCTTTTTTCTCTTAGCTCGGATAAAAATAATTGCTTTCTCTC